GGTGGCAAATGGCTGTAATCCCAGCACTTGGGAGGCTGAGGCAGGAGGACTGCCACAAGTTCAAGGCCAGCTTGAACCACAAAGCAAGAATCTATCTCAACAAAACAAAACAAAACAAAACAAAACAAAACAAAACATTCCCTAGAACTTAAAAAAAAATAGGTTTGCTGCCTACTTGGTATGTGCTGATATATTCACGGTCATAGCTAGCTGACATCTGTTCCTATTAGTTAATATCTGTGCCAAATGTCACCCTGCCTTGGGCACTGTTAAAGCCATCACCCTGCAGTTAGCTTGGATACTGCTGAAGTGGTTCACAGCCAGAGACGGACAGCAGCATCCGTTGTCATGGAAGGTGGACCTGGAGGCTCTCTGGCCGGAAACCCCGCCCATCTCCCCGGGTCTCACCTGGGCTTGTTACCCTCCTTGAATCCCTAGAACCTAACTCTCCCCAGTGGCCTGAGCCCTTGTCCATGAGGGGCGACCACGCTTTCTGCAGCTGACCTCAGAGGTGACATCGGGTGGTGATATGTGGCAGGCAGCTATGTTGTTGATTTTAACGCCTCCTTGTGGGGATTTAGGGCAGGACATCAGACTGTCCTTGTTGGGAATTAACTGCCTGTAGAACAAAACTGTCACCTTAACTGGGCATGGTGGCCCAGGCCTGTAATCCTAGGATTTAAGAGGCTGAGGCAGGAGGATTGGTGTGAGTTCAAGTCCAGCCCTGGGTACAAAGTGAGTTCTGCCTGAGGAAATCTTCAGGGACAGAGGGCTGTGGCACATAGCTGGCTCTCAATAAATACTTGGGAACTGAAGAAAAGCTAAACCAGAAGAAGCCAGACAGAGTGGTAAATGCCTGTCATCCTAGCACTCAGGAGGCTGAGGCAGGAGGATCATAGCGCGTTTGAGGATAACCTGGATTACATAGTGAGTATCCAGGCCAGCCTGATATCGAGCCCCTGTTTCAAACAATGACAACCACAACGGAAGCAGGAGTAAGAAAATGATCTATTTAAGCACAAGTGGCAGGAGAGAAATGGTAGAATCTGGGTGTGGAGAAAAACTGAGATGGTTTTATTGTTCTGGAAAACAGCTGGGACCTGCTCAGAGGTCCCTTTCAACAACAAGTATTCATTATCGACCCCTGGAGAACTTTGCCCCGCTGGCCCGAGAGGGTTCTTGGGTTGTGTTTAATGGTGACCTTCGGATAGAGACTATGATTTAATGGACCTTTTCTAGTCCATCTCAGCCGCTGGAGATTAAAAAACAATGCCACCAAATAGCGCACACAATTTCGACCTCTTTCCTTCCCCACCTCTTTCCTTCCCCAGTGTTATTTTTTTTTTTCTCCTTAGAAACAAAGAGGGTTGGCATCGCTTCTCGGCCTTTTGGCTAAGATCAAGTGTGAAATAAAGAGGGTTGGGCCCGGTATGTAGCTCAGCGGCATTGCGCCTGCCTGGCAAATGCAAGGTCATGAGTTCGATCCCTGGTACCACCAAACAATAAAAAATAGAAATAAAAAGGACTGCAGCTCTAGTGGTGCAATTGGTTATGAGAGATACTTTCACAGAAAGAAAGCTTTGCAGATT